TAAGCAAAAAGAAAAAAGCCGGAAGTGGCGCTGTGGCTCAAGTGGTAGAGAGCTAGCCTTGAGCTGAAGAGCTGAGGGACAGCGCCCAGGCCCCACGACCGGACACAAAAAAAAAAAAAAAAAAGAAATCCCTAAGCACAAAAGTTCTCCACTAATTGGGGCCTAATTGTGAAAAATTCAGCAAGTAGAGGTGTGGCTCAAGTTGTAGAGCACCAGCTTTAAGTAAATAAATCAAGTGAAAGCAAACGACCCTGATTTCAAGCCTCACTACTGGCACAAAATAATTAAACAAATAAAAATTCTGTAAGACTTAACATGGCCCATTCCATCCAGCACACTCCTTTCAAAGCTGAAATTATACATTTTTTAAAAGTACAATTCAAGTTTTCCTTATTTCAAATATATGGTTTAAGATGCAAAATGTGAAAAGAAATCCACCCCACAACTCTCTTCTAGGATTTTCTAGCATCCCAGAAAAAACATCACTCTAAGCAAAAATTAGACTTAAAACGAACCTACAGAAAAAAAAAACAAGACATCTACATTTCATTGCAGCTTAAGAGGTAAAGCTAGTCCACATCCCACATTCTCTTTTATTATTCTTCCACCAAAGTGCCTCAGATATTCAAGTTTTTGGATCCTACTAATAAGCATTTTGAGGCAGTAGTTATTTCTGATGCAGTGAACAGCCTACACTAAGGCTTCTTCAACTCCTCAAATGGGTAAATTCTAAAAAAGTATAAAAAAATAAGAAGTGGCACTGTGGCTCAAATGGTAGAGTACTCGCCTTGGCCCTGAGTTCAAGCCCCAAGACCGAAAAAAATAAAAACAAACAAATAAGTACAAACACTTTATATTCAACAAACGGGGCTGGATTTGTGATACCACTCCACTCTGCTTTTTTGAGGTTTTCATTTGCAAATGCTACTGTTGCTATTTAATGTAAGTATCCTAGGAATCATAGTGGTGGGATGTAATGGTGCACACCTGTAATCCCAGCATTCAGAAAAGAGGCAAGAGGATCACCAGTTGGAAACCAGTTTGGGCTACACAGTGTGAGGCCAGCTTGGCCTATATAGTGATATTTTGTCATTTAAAAAAAGGAAAAGAAGGAAAAAAAACAATTATTTAATGTCATTCCTTCACATTACAAATGTATTTTTTTTAAAAAAAGAACAAACAGATATCAGTTATGGTCATGATAAAAATCTGACTTAAAATTTACACCGGAGCATAATCACTAAAATACCAATATTGAAAGAGGGGGAAGGCAGCTGCAAACATGAGAGAAATTTTTCATTAACGCTGATTTCCAGAGAGCTCTAGATGCTTCTAATTTTGCATTAGAGAGACAAAAAAGAAAAAAACCTTTTTAAAAACCTCTTGCAGAAATAACCGCCACAGGAAACTCCTCATAGGGCTTGTTAAGGATGCGCTTCAATCCTCCAAGATGCTAAGAGCAACAGAAATCAAACCGCCCCTAGAAGTAGCCCAAGGTTTCTGGGAATTTCCAACCTCAAATTAAAACTCCTTCTACCCAGACAACAGAGGGGTCTTGGCCTGACTGCCCCCAGGGAGATTCCCACGGCCCCGAGTATCACGATGCTGGGGGAGTAAACTCAGAGACAGAGGCGGCCAACGCAGTGTATCGATCCAACCTGCACCAAAGTTCACCAGGAAAACGGGAATCGGGGGGAGGGGGGGGAAGGTACTTCTACTGGAAACGCACCCCCACCTACGGAATAGAGAGAGCGCGCTGATTGTAACTTGATCCCCACGGGAGCCTGGTGCAGACCTTCCAAGTCCATCCGTATTCAATGTTTTACCTCCGCTGAGGACGGAACCCCGGCTCCGTGCGCACTCGTCTCAGTGCCCGGATGCGGGGCGGCCGAGGGTCTGCGCGGGCCCAGCGCTGGGCCTGCGCGGGGACGCGGACGGCGCA